AAAATCTTCAATTATTTACATACACATAAATATACATGTGTGTATATACGTCAGTATTTAAATGTTAAATCCAAAATACCACACAAAAAACAATCAAACAAAATTTGTAATGCTTTGTGCTATTTATCTAGCCATCTTGATGGCTTGCCGTCTGTCTGGTCGCTACGTGTGTGTGTCTGTTTGTTATTGCAGTATTTGTTTATTACGGCGGCTTCACCGGTCTTAACAAGCAAAAAGAAAAATTAGTAGTGAATGGAGTGAAAGCAGCAAACGCTGTTTCATAGCCCCCACCGAATTATGCGTGTATATCCGTGTGTAAACCAAACAGAAGCGTTATTTTGATTAGATTTATATATGAAATTATGTTTTGTGTATTTTTGTTGTTATTGTCATAATTAAAATGATATATAGCAAATTTTTGTTAGGCAAATTATTATTTTGAAAGCGAAAATTATTATCACTACTGAAGTTTGACGACCACTAATAAAACATTTTTTGATTTACAAATTTCAATTTCTCATTATTTGCATCTGGCAATTTAGAGAAACATATGTAGTTTTGTTTATAGATATGTATGTATTTCAGTTTTTGTTGTATATTTGTTTGTAGAATATGTATTTGTAAGAATTATGTATGTTTCGTTTGCTAAAAACAGCGTCATTTTTTGCATGCAGTGGCCTTGTAATGTAAAACAAGTTTGGGTCTTAAGTCTTTTGTTTTTTCGTCATGCATGAAACTTGTCAACATGGTGTTGCGGATGTATGAAAATTTTTTTTGTGGTTATTATTATTGTAAATGAAATTTCGTTTTTGGGGAATATATATTTAATGTTAAAATTATAATTCATTTCTGGATATTGAACTGAGAACAATTTGGTTTCTTTCTACTGAATTTCTGATGCTTCCATTCGTTATGTTTTATTTAATTTCAACCTACAAAAATATCCCGTTAAATGCTGAAAGTTTCGATAATTGTTAAACTGACAGCTATCAGAAGCGTCCACAGGTTGCATATAGTGAAAAGCCTACGGGGAGTAAAGCTGAATGATATCAGAGGCGTCTATAGGTTACAGATTGTGGAAAGTCCAGTTGAAATCATACGGGGTTTGGAGGGAAAGTCTCAGAGGAAATGAACTACAAGTGCCAATGATCCCAAGATCGTCGAGACAAAACTTGAGCCCCTATACGAGGGCAGTTCTTTTGGAAACTTCCATCTCTGTTATGAACACATGTTAATTTTTGTTTCGATCTGGCTACTCTTTCATATAGAAACAGTTGTTCAAAAAAGACGCTTCTGCAATTTTTTACAGCTTCTTCGTTCCGAACTTCCCTCGTAGTGAAAAGCCTACGGTTAATAAAGTTGAATGCTATCAAAGGCGTCTACAGACTACAAATAGTGGAAAGTCCAGTTGAAATTATTCGAGGTTTTGGGGAAAATCTCGAAGTAAATGAAATACGAGCCCCTATATAAGCATTTTTAAGGCCTTAACTCAAATCATGAGGAATCATGCGTTTATTCGGAAGTCCAAAAGTAACTACTCGAATAGTACTGTGAGTGACTTGTTGAATAAAAAAATCGTAAACCGCGTTGAAAGGTAGCTCAAGAGAACCTTGTACTGCAAAAAAATGTGAGTAGCCAAATATATCTGGAAAATTATGTTAGAAATTTCTAATCCATCTGAACCTTCGAGGGGGTTGCTAAATGACGAGAAATCCTTGCTACCATCTACCAGTGGAAAGAAAGGTTCGGAGTGTCTAAGTCGTCCAAAAGGAGAAAGGAGGCTGTAATACAATCCCCCCGAGCAACAATCTCAATCCACCAATTCGAATGCGCAATAAACTTCATAAAAATTTGCAAGCTTTCAAATACTTGAGTCTTTTTGTGGGAAGTATCACGAGGTGTTGAACGATATGACCTAACTTCGACCTAACTAACTTTGAATCACTTCGGATACAAAATGTTTACAACTAATTTACATTTGATAAAAAATTATGTGGGGCAAAGTTCCATTCGGTACCAGAAGGGGTGTGCCGATTAAGTAGATTTAGTAAAAATTTTGAGGTCAAGTCGGACTTATTTTTCAGAAAACTTTTACCATTTGTTGGGTAAATTATCGGAAGCAGTGGACCGATATTCTCTGCCATTGAACTTGTTTACAGTTTGGAAGAAATATGTATTTGGATGGGTACCACCTATACTGACGGACCCTCATTGTATCTTTGAAGCATCATTTACATGAAATCGGAGAAAATTATTTATTCAGAGCTTTATTTAAATATTCTCTACCATTGCACTTGTTTATAGTTTTGATGCACCATTTACATGAAATTGGAGAAAAATATTTATTGAGGGCTATATTTAAACCTGAACGGATATATTGAAAAGTTTTTACACATTCTTCTAGAATGAATTCGTTAGCCTGTGAAAAACATCGTATCGATGGATAGGCTTAATATTATAATGACATAGAAATAAATTATATATGAGAGCTATGGGTAACCTGAACGGAACAAGGATGTTCCAACAGCAAATTTTTGATTATCTATCAAACTGATCATTACTACCGTATTACTTCGCGCAAATAGAACAAATCTTATAGGTTACAATATTATATATTGACGGTACGACTGTTGGAGGCTTAGAAAATTGTGAGCAAGTCGTGCCCATAAATCCATAACAACGGTGACCCTCTAAAACCGATCTGAACCGTCGAGGATTGAATAGAAAAAATTTATAAAAATTTAACAAAACCTTCAAAATAGTGAGGTAACAGAATGTAGCCTGAAATTACTCCCTTAATCTTCTGACATTCAAATTTAAATAGTTTATTCATATACATATAATATTTTAATTAATAATTATAAAAAGAACATTCGACATGACCTTACATACATACATTTGTAATTATATAGCCACACATCATCGTTGAACTGTGGAACCTAATTTTTTGTATTTACATTAAACAACCACACATAAATGTATGTAGTTTTATCTCACATGTAAAGCCTAAATGAAAACCAAAAAAACAAAAGACTTAAGACAAAAACTTGCTTTGGCAATGTTGTCTGCAGTTCCATGCGAAGATTAAAAAATTACTAGCGTATATACAGCAGCATGAAAACAAGTTTTTAATTCGGCTTTTACAACTACAAGTTTTATTTTTTACAAATAAACCGAATGAAAAAACAATTGCATGCTTTTTTATTGTTGTTTATTTCCTAGAGGAAATTCAAGTTAAAAACCAAAAGAGAAAAATAAAAATGCCACAAAAGATGTGTGAACTATAAAAAAAAGATTTATATCAATACAAATTTGTATAGAAAAGTTTCAAGTTTTTACAATTTATTGTGCGGCATTTTTTATTTGAATGAATAAATGAGAAACAAAAGACTTAAGACACAAACATGCCCAACCCTTTTGTATAACAATTTCGGTGATGGACCCGAAATAAATTTGTGTAGGTAGGTATATGTATGAATGCAAACAACAACAAACAATAAATCGTCACTTTGTTAGCGATGAGTGCATCCATCATTTTTTTTGCCTTCTATTTTTTCTATGTTAGCTTGACCTTTACTTTCTCTTTAGTAAGGGGTTTTTGAGAATTTTTCTTGGTAAGTAGCATAAAATTGTGTTCGTAGTTGTGTTAATTGAAACTTAGATGGAGATATGAAAATTGACTTCTGAAACAACAAATTAATTTAAGTCAAATTTACTCCAAGTCAAAATACATAAAAAAGCAAAATTGATTATGAATTAAGAGGTGAATTAGGAGGTTATGAAGAAGTTCGTTTCGACTTTTATCCCCATTAAAACTATGTTTTTGTTGTAGTTGGAATAATTGCTGTAATTGCAATTTACATTACTAAATTATCCGTGTAGAAAAATAAAACACAATTATAATGAAAAAATTAAATGAAATCTAACAAAATTATACCAAAATCTGAATCGATTAAAAGCAATCTTGGGGCAAACCATCCTATGCAAAAATTCATATTAATCGGACATACATAGGGATTATTGGTGAACCATTTATATGAAATCGAATAAAAATATATATGAAAGCTGTAAATAAATCTGTTCCGATTTAAAGCAAACTTGTCACATTTCATTCTAGACTCAATTCGGAAGCCTGTACTTAACCCATATACAATTTAGTAGCCTCTACAAAATGTCGTGTCGATCTGACAGATATAGCATGATTGAATCAAAATTTACATAAAATCGGACAAAATTATATATGCGGACAACTGTATGCTCCAATATGTTGTATGGAAATATATAAAACAATTTACAGGACCATAGGGACATATTGTTCTATAGAAAAAAATCACAGGTACAATTCTATAGAAAAAAATCACAGGGTCAACTTTTTTCCTATAGAAAAAAATGCACAGGACTACAGGGACTATTTTTTTCTGTAGAAAAAAAATCACAGGGACAATTTTTTTCTGTAAAAAAGAATTCATAGGATCACAGGGACAATTTTTTTTCTGTAGAAAAAAATTCACAGGATCGCAGGGACAGTTTTTTCTATAGAAAAAATCACAGGGCCACAGGGACTATTTTTTTCTATAGAAAAAAAAAACAGGACCACAGGGACTATTTTTTTCTATAGAAAAAATCACAAGACAACAGGGACTATTTTTTTCTATAGAAAAAAATCACACGACCACAGGGACAATTTTTTTCTATACAAAAAATTTCACAGATCCAAAGAGACTATTTTTTTTTCTATAGAAAAAATCTCAGTATCACAGTTCCTAAGGAACAATTTTTTGTATAAAAAAAATCACTTTAGTGGCCATCTGTAGAACAGATTCTCTTCTGACGAAGTCTATCCACGCCATCTATGATTTTGGCATGCTCTAAGTCTTGTACAAATACTACAATTTTCATGGTTTGGGTGAATTTTCCTCATCTGAGATTTGCAAAATTCAAATTTATGGATATGTATTAAATTCAATAAATTAATTTCATTCAATATGAAATAAACTTACCTCCAGGTATTACCCAATATGGGTATTGGTTTTGGTCCAGGTATCTCTTCATATGGCAAAGCATTTTGCCATTCACTGGTGTGATGTATTAATGGCACCGAATCGTCATGTTCATATATGCTGCTGTCGGTGTTGTTAGCCAAATGGGGGCAAACTGGTGGAACAGCAGTTGCAGCACTGGAAGAATTATCACGTTTACCAGCAGCAAGCCAATTTGATTTCCAACGTAATGCTGTTGTCGATAATGGTGATAATGTTGATTTGCCTGTTGTAACTGCCGTTGCCAATGCTGTTAGTGTGTTAGCGGTATTACATGTTACACGCATTGTGCTCAATGACAATGACAAGGCAGCAGCGGCACTCATGATTGACTTGGCGTTTGGATTTCTTTTTCCGTTTATGTGGTATGAGCCAAGAAACACAAAATTGAAATTAAAATCAATTAAGTAAGCGAACGAATATTTATTTTTGTCTTCTCTTTCTGTAACACCAAACTTTACACTTGAAAATAAATACTAATTTATATTTTCACTGTGATTCACTTTTTTTCGTTTCGTTTTTTTTTTAATTTCTTATTTGTGGTAATTTTCTAAAACAACAAATTATAATTATAATCCACGTAATGTCGGTTCACCGACTAAAGACAAGAAGAAATTTCCGTGTGGAACTTTGTGGAAGACTACACCGATCAGACGTAGCAGCAAACAACCCGTTGAGTTTGCTGTTCGAAAAACAACTGAAACCGAAAGCTACAATTGTTCATTCGGTTCGGTAAAATGAGCCGAAAACATATTTGCGTGCTGTGTGCGAACAAAGTTTATGGCTAACAGCATAATAGAGCTTAGCTTGGTTGGTTATGTGTTGAGTTTTTGTTTGTTTATTGTTGTATTGTGGTGTAGATAAATATACGATATTGTAGATAATTTGAGATACACATTGCATGAATGTGTGGGGTGAAAAGTTTCGAATCCTCACACAGAATGAGATATGACTCTTTTAGCAAACAAAATGGGATCTTGGGTAGATATAGGGGACCAAATCATGGATAAAATTCACACCACATATTTTTTTCGGAAAAAAAATCCACAGGACCATTTTTTTCAGAAAATAATGGACTATTTTTTTCACAGGACATTATTTTTTTCTTTAGAAAAAAATTCACAGGACCACAGGGACTATTTTTTTCGCATAGAAGAAATAAACAGGACCACAGGGACTATTTTTTTCAATAGAAAAAATTCACAGGACCAAATTAAAGCTTAGTCTTGAATTTGGCGCTCATATGGGGACTTTGTCGAAAAGTAGAATTGTATTTAAGAGATTTTACGATCGAGCTTACGCTTTGGAATGATTCTGTTATTTTGATTAGAATTTGTGGCAGTACCTTTAAATTATCGGCAATTGGGCTGTACCCTTTTAAATACCTGCTGTGGAATTTCTGTTTTGTTATTAAGTAAAATATTTATATTTTTTTTATTTTTTATATTTACCTGTTTTTTTTTTTTCAATTAACTTCATAATTAATATTATTGTTTTATTTTAATTTTTATTTATTTTTAAATTATGAAAATAATGTTTGGGATGGAATAATAATTGGCTCTTGTAACTGTAACTTATTTTCTAAAACATTACAAATTGAGAAAAATATTTAGCATTTTTCATTAAGGACAAAAATAATAACTTCTTTTATTCTTCTGTTTTCTTTTATTTTGCTGCAAAAAACTTAGTTATTTACATATAATACCAGCTTATATTTTTAAAGGGTACCCTTTTCTATACATATAGAAGTTTTAAATAAAACTCATTTATTTGTTTTGTGTTTCATTATACTTAATAATATAAATACCAGCAAAATCTTACAATGATGTTTGGGAAAAATCGTACTCTCTATCGAATAGCATATGCATTAGCATTGAAAGAAATCATTATCGTTGATATCGTAAAGCAATTATTTTCATAATTTATAGTTATAATTTTTTATCGTTTAAATATCACATAAAACATAAATTAAAATTTTAGCCATAATTTTTTTATTTTTGTTTTTTTTATTTTATAATTATTTTTAGTATTTTTTATTATATCCCAAACTTGAATTAAAAAAGTATTTTATTCAAACTGTTAAATATTGTTGCCTTGATTATTGTATATATTCTATACAATATGTTATTAATTGATGCCAATAATATACCAAAAGTTCTAATTTATTATTTCGTATATGAAAACTGAAAATTCTTCATCGTTTTTCAATATGATACACAATGGGATAATCTTTTTTACAAAAACGAATTACAAATTAAAAATAATAAATAGAAAACATTAAACAAAGGGAATAAATAACAAATTAAATTTCAAATTAATACTTTTTTAATAATTTAAAAAAAAGGACGAATAAAAATATAAACACAAATATATGCATACAAATCACTGCAACGCAAACTTTTTTTATTATTTGTTTATTTTATAATAAAAAAACAACATTCAGCATTATCCCATTGTGCACAAATCGAAGAATACTACAATACACTCCCGCAATGTCAAATGTCATCTATAGAAGAAGTAAGTAAATCAAAATTTCAAGCACTATTGCATATTATGAATTTTAGTATTTGCTTCTATACGACGAATACGGTATTTAACGACTTACCCAGTCTAAAGGATTGCATTCACCTGATTGCAAACTTCTTCAATGAATGGTTTTCTCTCTGCCACTCATCACTCACACACTGCTTCTCTCTCTCTCTAATTGTATTCACTTGAATTACATTATCTATAATTCATATCGCCTACATTATCTTGATGATGCTGATTATAACCCATGTTGTCATTACTGGTTGCTGCTGGATGATTTTCTTGTGGTGGTGGAATATATTCGCCTGGCAATAAATTTGTGGCAATTGATATATCTGCCCCAGGTGGCAGACGTTCCTTGGGAATAGCTTTGGGTATATTTTCAAAAGCTTCACGTTGTCGACGTTGTAAATCTTCTTCTTGACGTCTTATCTCTTCCAATTGCTTGCGAGCTTCTTCGGCTGCCGCCTCACGACTAATAAGATCGGTTGGCAATACATTTGTGGCAATGGAAATATCAGTACCGGGTGGCAATCGTTCCTTAGGAATGGCTCTGGGTATATTTTCTAATGCTTCCCGTTGTTTGCGTTGCAACTCTTCTTCTTGCTGTCGTAGTTCTTCCAATTGTTTGCGTGCTTCCTCAGCAATAGCTTCACGTTCTGCCTGTGCTTTGCGTTTCGCTTCCAATTTATCACGATGTTGTAGAGCCAATTCTTCCTTTGCCTGATATACTGTCGAGGGGACATATGTTGGACGGTCCTGATGAACCTTCATGTGACGTTTTAGGGCAACCACTTGTATAAACCGCATGCCACACTGATCACAGCCATGTGGCTTCTCGCCGGTGTGTGTCATTTCGTGATGTTTCAAGGTTTGTGCTTTAGCAAATCGTTTGGGACAGAATCGGCAGGCAAAGTCCTTTACACCCTGATGGACAATTTTGTGATGTCTTCTTAGATTTCCGGAGCCATTAAAACCTTGGCCACAGTCGGGACAGGTGTATTTGCCCTCCTTCATCATAAAGTTAATTTGTGGCGACCATGATGGCAATGCCAACTGGGGTATAGGATTAACAGCAGTACCAGCCAAATCGGCAATGTCAACTCGTTCAACCCGTCTCGGGTCTTTTGGAATGGAATTGACTGAATCAGCACAAACTTTGAGAATTTCTTCTGCCACTTTTTGATGGGATTCCTGGGTGTTATCGGGATCGGGTAATTCTGGAATAGTTTCCGCCTGCTCTGCTGGCAATTCACCTGATTGAACTTGTCGCTTACGATACACTTCAATAGCACGCAACACCCTCTTCTCATGGGTCTTCAAATGTTTGGTCAGGCCCTTTGGATAAAGGAAACGTTTGCCACAAACCTTACACTCACATTTCTTTTCACCCGTATGGGTCATTTCATGCATTTTACAAGCATTCGATTTGCCAAATGTCTTGCCACAGTATTGGCAAGCATAATCCTTGATCTTCTCGTGCACCACTCGTACATGCATGCGCAGATTTTGTTTGTTGTGCGAGGCATGAGGACACAGCTCACACTTGAATTTCTTTTCAGTGTTGTGGGTGGCTATGTGTGTATTCCATTCCTGGCGAGTGGTCTTACCCACACCGCAATAGGGACAGACATAATTCTTGATTCCGGCATGTCGCATAAGATGGTCCTTGAGGGCACTATTGATGACGAAACGTTTACCACAGATGTTACAGGGGAATGGCAACTCCTGACCGGTGTGTTTGAACATGTGTTTCTTCAAAGCCATGGGACACTTGAATACCTTATCACATTCGGTGCAAGGATACGACTTGGGTACATCCTCCTTGGCGATTTTGTGTACCCTCTTCAAATGCCAGTTTAAGATGCGACGACGAGTGAACTTCTGTTCACAACCTGGTTGTGTGCAAGGAATCTTATCTACGGTTTCATCGTGACAATGCTCAACGTGCAAACGAAGGCCATAGGCGGTGGTGAAACCACGTTTGCAGTTTTCCACTTCGCATTGGAAGGGCAGCTTATCGTTGTGGAATTTCATGTGTTCCTCATAGTTTTTGGTCTTCTTGAACTTCTGATGACAAATGTGACAATCAATGATGCGATGCAAGTGACGTTCTGCTGCCGGTATACGCTTACGTTTGGGCTTCACCTTGGGATCCTTGGGTTCATCATCTTCCGTTTGAACTTCCTTATATTCCTTCTTAATGTGTCTGACTCTTGTGGCCAGTGGTTTGTCATCATCACTGTCGCTGTCATCATCATCGTCGTTTTCATTTTCACCACCAAATTGATACTCAAAATCGCTATCCTTGTCATCACCACTTGATTCCTCGCTGTTTGAGTCATTGACATCCTCCTTTTCAATTTTCGTTTCAACATCCTCCTCTTCGGGTTCCTCCTTGTCCACACTTTCCAACATCTTAAATACATCTTCCTCGTTTTCAATCATTTCCATTTTATGATTTGTCAACAAGGGATCGAAATTCAAATTATCCTCATCCTCATCTTGCAGACCCAATTGTACCCCCTCAATTGGTTCAGTGGCCGGGGCTGCCTCCATCATATCAAAGGTGTTGGGTGGGAAAGTGGTAACAACATGACTTGCCACCAGCTCCTGAAATTTCTGCACCGAATCGACACAAAGTTTCTGGAAATCGGCCATATCATTGAGCCGAGTATAGCAGACCCCACAAATGTTCTTGGGAAAGCCATCATTCTCCTCCACCGACAATGCCGTACACATACACAATTTTTTCTTTAATCCAGCGACCAGGAATAAATTATAGGCATTGTCATTTTGCAAATACTCCAGACAAATCCGACAAATGGAATGGATATCCATGTTGAGTGGCAATAAAATTATCCAATTTTTAGTGTTATTTTTTTGTTGTTTTTCTCCTTGGCGACACAAAAGTTTACAAAATAAAAATTTAATGCGACAAATTCTACGTATGTCAAATAGTACCGAGTCAATATTTTTTCTCGATAAAGAATACAATTGTTTTCCTATGCAAGCAACTAAATTGCGGCGTATAACGTATGACGGGTACATATGACGGCATTGCTTCTTTTGCAATACACAGTGAGTTGATAGTTTGATTAAACTTGTGGTATGGGTAGTTATGCGTAATAGTGTTACAATACGTTACGGTACCGTAACCTGAAAAAAGAGATTCAAGTTATAAATTAGTATTTTCTGGGCATTCTGGAAAGGGAGTTCGTTAAGTTTATCAACAATTTTGCATTACCTGGCATTCTTAAATTTGAAACATTGCTTCTTAACTATTAATTATTAAAATTTACTACAAAAATCTTGCAGTTAAAGTTCGCTAAACTGAAGTATTTTTTGATTGCCCTATTTTAGTTGCCAAACATATTCGACAAATCGATGAATATTCATGTTTGGAATTTAGAATATTCAACAAACTTTTTGCCTATATTTTGTTGTTGTTTGTTTTTCTTCTTCCACACAAATGTCAAATAGTACCGAGCTATTTTTTTATTTTGGGGTGAAATTAAAAGAACGCGTATAACGTATGACGTAAAATGTAAAGACCAGTTAAAAAGTGGAAGGTTAGTTGAATGTAATACGATTACCATACGTTATGGTACTGTACCAGGAAATTTAATTTGTCCAATAGGAGATATTCTTTGGATATTCAGCACACGGGCAAAAATGGATCTAAACTTTCGAAACAAACGGAGACTCTAAATCAAATTTGGGTCTCAAACAGGAGGGTGTGACAAACATTACCGTCTTAGAAAGAGATTCCGACAATCGAAATCTTCCGTAATGACCAGGAAGACCAACTGAAATAAACGAACTTAACGAACGAGGAATATGTTATCAACCATTCAATAGATGGCGCTTTCCGTGAATCTTTGCCAGTAACTGAAATGTAAGCATACTTTTAGGCTCTGATAAACAAAATCAAAAGTACATGGTTTTTTCGATTAAAAGTTTGCACAACCGCCTAATATTTGTAGCAAACATAAATCAAGAAGTCTGAAAATGGAGTCCATTGGTTCACACCTTGGGGAACCACACTTAAACAATTGTGATAAAAGTATTAAATACACAGTGAATTCTATCTATATATGGATTTAAATGAAAATTCAAAATTTTAAAACTGTGGGAGGTGCCTTAATAAAGAAATTCGAAATTTGTAGCATCAACAATTATATATGAAATAAAACACATTTTTTTAATTTATATTTTCATTATGAATTGTTCACTTGTATATTTATAAATTAATTATAATTTTTTTATTTTACATTTACTTCTTTTTTTAGCAATAATTGCTTTGTCATTTGTTTTTTTATTTATTTATATATAATTTTCACAATATTCTCATTCTTACTATTCAATAATAATAATAATTACTTATATAATATAATTTAATTGTATTATATTAAAGTAGATTTTGTGCAAAAACAAAAGAAAAATGAAAGTAGTTTTTTATAAGATTTTTTTTGTTTTTCATATAAGGTGTTCGTTAGTAAATTGTTTTTGTTTGATTTTTAAGAGATGTTTTATAGTAAAAATGTATAATTTATGTGATTCTATAAAAAAAAAACGTAATTATAATGTGATTTGAATTCGAACATACAGTTGATCGAGAAAGTGTTTGGAATACAAAAATATATTTGTTTTAGGTGTTAGGGAAGAATAAATTTTTAGTTTAGAGTTAATTGAAAATACAAGGGATAGGAAGTGAAGAAAGATGTGAATATAAATATTCCGTTCAATCCTTCGTCGCCCAATCTATAAATATAATTATGTATAAATTATATTTCCTTTATGTCTGACATAAAAAAGAATGACAGGGAATTTTGTTTAAAAAATTAATTAGTTGAAAAAATATTTATAAAGTTGATTCATTTAATTTAAATTTTACAAAAACAGAATATTTTAAATAGAGATAAACCCTTAGAATTTTATTTGTTTATAATTTATTATATTATATTTTATTATAAATACTTTTTTAAAGTCGTCTTTTTGAAAATGTGTGCATAATTTTATGGAATTTCATTAACCCTTAAACACATAAATATTTTCAACAAAATCCTTTCCTGACCAACTGTATATTTGTAGATACATGCATTTTTTGGATGTATATGTATATATAAAAAGTCATGACATATGCATTCACAATGGCAAAATGTTTTTTTTTTGTTTCTTTTATTAGTATATGTATGTATTTATATAAATGGTTTAGATGGCTGATGGTGATTTGTTTATTTTGTTTCATATTCGTTTCGACTTATTCAATTATTTGCTTTTTTTTATAAAACTTATACTATCAACTAATTACAAAAAATTAAAAGACACTTACAAAAGAAAAAAGAATACATTAAAAAAAGTAAGGCATACAAAACTACATAAAAATTAGTTTTAATGGCATTTAAAAATTAATAAAAATAAACAAAAACAAAAGAGAAATAAAATCATTTCATTAAAATTCTATATAACAAATTATAATTGTTTCTATAAAAAAATATTTCTTTTTTTTGGCTAATATATAAAAAATGTTGATTTTATACTCAAGTCTAAAGTTAATCAATTTTAGTTTTTTCTTTTTTGTAGTTTGTTGTAGGCAGTAAATCAGTTATTTTAATTTTAATATTACTAAATGCAGTTTTGAATTATACAAAAATTAGATTTATATTTTAAAGGTAGAAAAGAAAAAATATATAAAAATGGAGATTAAAAATCATGCACACAGCTGTTCCAATGATTTGGAACTAATAATGACAATATTATATTGTTAAAAAATATATAATTTAAATGCAAAATGAAATACTTTTACAAAAACACACAATTTTTTACAATTAATTATTATTTTTTTTTAAAGAATTTTCATCGTTCGTTTTAAGTGAATTGTAATAGTTCACTCAGCTACCTTAGGTTTCACGGAAATTAATTCATAATCAAGTATATGACTTAATAATCAACCTTGTCATTGCTGAGTCGAGTTTTAGCAATAGGGCCCTGATTGCAGCATACATTGCTGGGCAAAAAATATTACTGACTGTTTCCGTACAAATTGAAGCGAACAAAATCGAAAAATATTGATATTTTTTGTTTCAAATCGATCGATAGTACGTCAGTAAAATCCATTCATTTTAAACAGTTTAATATTACAGTTTTTAATCTGGGCCCGATTTCGATTTAATTTAAAGCAATTACAAATATTTCGAAGAATACAAAAACAAAACTGAGGGGAAATGCTTTACTGGCTTTTAAAATTATAATGGCACATGTATATATGTATATTTGTTGCTTGCAAGAGAACAAGGTGCAATTAAGTTAGATCGTTGTGCGCAAAGTTAAGGAAATTTTTTGCAAATATCGTAATTTACGATATAAGTAAAATTTCATGTTAATCGTTTAATATTATTAAGAACAGGTAAATCGAATATAAAAAGAAATTATAATTTATAAGAATGGGTAAAAAGTGTTGTCGGTGTATTAATTTATAAGGTATGTTCCTGTAGTGCAAGAATCTACGAGTTTTTACTATGTTTTCGATATCATAAAGGAAAAGAGTGTTATCATAGTAAAAAATAGTAGATTCCTGCAGTACGGGAACATACCATATATATTATATTACATATTAATATAAAAGTTTCAAAAATTAAATGTATAGACAACACTTCAACAATTTCTTGAAAATTTGAAATCATGAAATAAAATTAGCTTCAAAAAGAAGAAAAAAAAAAAAATAAATCAATTATCAAAAAACCTATCTTAGCACTCTATAATTTTTCTTTTTGTTTTAGACTTTTCTATGATAAGTTCCTTAAAATTGTTTAGATGGCTAGCTTATTTTTAATATATAGATAGAGAGTAAAAATAATCGTGTGTTTTGTATCGTGTCGCTTTGCTTTCGTATTCAAAATGTTGTGATTTTTTTCTTTCTGTTTTATATAGTCGTAAAGTTAGATTATTCGTATAGTTTAAATGTAGTTTTGTTATTTATAAATACTAGACAAGGATAAGGTTTTTATTTTTAAAATGTGTAGGAGTAGAAGGAATAGGTAAGTGGTAGGCTAGGATTTGGCTTAGAAAATAATGTATGTTTTATATTAATATGTTTTTTTATAACATACATTCACACATACATGGCTAAATTAAGGGTTTGTTTGTTTTGCATTGATACTTGTTGTTTGTCTCATTCTTTTTTGTTTCAACTATATATAAACTATAATTAAGTGGGATTTGTTTTTTTTTCATTATAATATTAAAAAATATTTTCTTTTTGTTGTTTACTAAATTTTCTTTGTTTTTTGTTTTTGTTTTACACATTTAATATTTACACAGACATGGTTTTAGCATTTATATAAAATAGCAAATTGTTTTTTCTATAATAGAAAATAAATATTATTTCAAAAAAAGAAATAATAAAACTTACTTAGTTGTTATGCTTTTCAGTTGTTTTGTTGTTATTGCTAAAGTTGTTGTTACCATTTAGAAACCTCAAAAATTTTGGGTGTGAGAAACAAAAGATAAAAAATTTTATAACTGCCTTTTTTGTTGTTGCTATTTTTTTCAAAATTTGGTTGTCAAAGTCGAGCAACTTTCATTGGTTCTCATCGTTCGCAGAGGTGATGCTGGTTGTGATTTCGTTGCTGTGGCGGAGCTTAGAGATTTCCGGCGCAATTCTTTAGCTTTTATCGTTGTTGTTGTTATGCGTGGCGTTATGGCAGCTATAATTTTATTTGTTAAAAATAACGGTAACTTAATAGGTTTCTGATAATGTTAACATTCAAATTCATTGGCCGTTATTGCACTCAAATCTTTCATCAGACCCTCCAAATTGGCCATTTCCTGATTGAGTTCTTCGGTCGAGGTGCTTGGCGCCAGCCGTTGAATTTCATCATTTGAATGGGCCACCGATGGACCACTTTGCAGACGATTTGGCGTGGCGGCGGAAAATGATGGTTTCTTGTATGGTGATTGATTTTGTGGACGTATTGTTACGGCAGGTGCTGCAAAGAAGGACATAGGTATGTAGTAAAATTGTGTAAACAAATTGTTCCTGTTCACAAATACTTACTGTGTTTATTGACGGGTGTTACAGCACCTGTTGGTGGTGGTCCGGGTACGCTGAAACTTTTCAGTGGATGGCCACGTTTGGTGCTTTCAATGGTGGAGACGCCACCATTACTGGCAGCACCTGAACCAGCACCTCCGGCCACCGAGCCAGGACCACCTGCTCCACCGGCTGTGCCAGTGTAACCAGTGTTGCTGAAAAAAAGAAATAAAAATAAAAATCAATATGGGCATCTAATCTGAAATACCTAAATGGAATAAAGAAATTTTAAATTTCTTTCTTCTGAAGTTACGAGTGCAATTTGGAAGGTTTTTAGCCTAGCACAAAAAGCACGGTATAAATCCAAAAAGTTAAGGGTTTTGTTTCGATCTGGCAATTCTTTCATTTCATTCCTTATTTCACAGCCTATATTTTTCAAAAATGCTCTCCTACTCTACCTTGACCACCACATCCACCATAATAGATCTTAATATCTTATCGATTCATCCCGCAAATAAAATATGGTGTTCAAAAAAGACGCATCCACAATTTTTTACAATGAAAGCTCGAATTTCTATTTTTTGTTTCATTGTAAAAATTGCGGATGCGCCTTTTTTGAACACCATATTTTATTTGCGGGATGAATCGATAAGATATTAAGATCTATTATGGTGGATGTGGTGGTCAAGGTAGAGTAGGAGAGCATTTTTGAAAAATATAGGCTGTGAAATAAGGAATGAAAATAGAAATACGATCGAAATGCAAGACGTCAAAACTCCTCTCCAAACTCTTCAGGGAAAATAACTACGTTAATGTGATCGATTAACATCCGGATTTTAAATCGCTAAACCCCGAGTATTCTCTGTATCACTCTACACATTATTTATTCTAATTTCCATTGATTTAAAAATCAACATTTCAATTACTAAACATTTTTATTTTATTTTTATTTTTAATTCAATAACAAAATTTCCATATCACTTAGCTTTCACCGGCCGCTTCCCCGCCCTTCATTCTTTCTTTGGCCAACAAGGTAGCCTTGTGTTTTCGTCGATTCTTCTTCAATTTGCCAATTGGCGTAAAACTGAAACCTCTCCTTTTGCGACGTTTCTTTTTATGTTTTTGTTCTAAGGCCAATTCACGATATGGTCTCTTTTCCTCTTCCGACATACCATTCCATAGATGACCTGCAGTTTTTGCCAATCTTGCCAAATGTTTGGATTGATTCGATTGTGTGTCATGCATTGCTTTGATTCGTATCTCAGCAAAGAAATTCAAAAATGGATTTGATGTGGCCGCTAAACGTGCTTCACGTAAAATTTCACGTTTCAGCGTGCTGGGAGTGAATGTAACGCGAGTTTTACGTTTCGTCGGACGAACCAAATTTGAAAATATTTCACATATTGTATTCCAAACTGTACACGCTGCCATAAGGGAATTTCATCAAGAGAAGATAATTCACGATCGAAAAAAATTAATTTTGTTTAGATATTGCGTAGAAGCTATAGGAAGGAAATCAATCAATTTGAAAACAGAAATTGAAAAAAAAATATTGACAAAAGAATTTAGTGTCAAAAAAAGTTTGTAATAGATTTCTATATAAATTTAAGGGATCGCAGGCATAGAATGAATTTGAATATATCGTGCAATGTTTTTTATAATACTGATTTTAATCACTGAATTTAAACTCCCTGCAAATTCACTTCTCCCTGCATATTCACTTCTTCTCTTAAACCTTCTGAGATTTTGAAATAGTTAAAAGAAAAATATTGTTTCTCTTACCAGAAATTCGGATCATATGTTCCATATGGATGTTCTGGCGTTTGTGCCAATGAATTATTTTGTGGCTGTGACAGGCTCTGCTGTGATAGACCTGTATCAACATTCATATGAGATCGATTTGCTGGTATATTATATTGCGTCCGGGGATATTGTGGCCTTTCCATGGTTGAGTTTAGGGAGGTGGCTAAAAAAAAAATAAATCAGAAATATTGTTCATTCAAGTGGAGTGCTAAAAAAAACTTACTCATATATCCCGGTACATAAGAACGTTTATCCAACGAATTGGTTATGTGATTTGGTACCGGTGTATCGACATCATAATCATGTCCCACAGAACGGGGTAATGTTAAGGCACCACTGCTGGAGGCAGCATCACTGCAGCCTAAAAGGAAAATAAAAACATATCGATATCAAATTTAAAAAAAAAATAAAATATTATTTTGTATCGGAATTGCTTCAAAATAGGTCGATTCTGTATTAACAAAAAATGTGCTAATAAGCAAAAATCATTTCTTTTTAAAAATGATTTAAAGAAGGGTTTTATTGAAACAATTAAAATCGTAGTTAAATCGGGCTAAATTTTTTAAAATTTTCACTAAAGTTCGACATTTAAAATATCTAAAATCGATCAGAATTTTAAAAATTTTCCAATCATTTTCTTGAAAAAAAAAAACTTACCCGGCGTTGAACCATGCATTGTTTTATCAATATTTTTCAATTCCATTTGATCATGATGTATCCATAGATCTGGTGGTTTTGGTACACCCACATTATTCTTCTGATAGCTGTTCGAAGATGGGAGACTAAATAATGAGAATTTGCTGTTGATTTTCAAACAAAAAACTAAAAAAAAACTACTACTACATACCTCTTTTTCGTATGCTCCGGTGTTGATTGGGGTTTACGTCGGCACATTATCACAATAACAGCGACGACAATGAATAGTATGAGAGCGAAGCCAAATATTACCATATAGAGAATCATTTCATTATTGATACCTTTACTGACGGTGGCTGGTTCTTGTTTAACCGCGGCAGCTGGTGTTGTATAGGCCACCAGGGCCGAAAATGGGGCAGTGTTTGCTCCACCACCAGTACCGGTGGCAATTTTATTTGTTCTTGCCTGCACTTTGAAGTAATATGTGGTATATGGCTTCAGACCGGGTAATATAAACGATGTCTCATCACCATTAAAGTTGTGGATATTCCAATCACGATCACGTTTTGTTGTATCTGTGGTGTAATAGATATTATAACCCGATATGGGATAGACAGTGTGTTTGGGTGGCATCCAATGTAAAATTACATTGTGCGGATTTTGTTCATCAGGTTGTACGGATAATTCTCGGGGAGGTGTAATTGGTATATTTTGATAGGTTGTATTCAATACCGCCATAGACCAGGCAGATTCACGACGGCCCTTTACCACTTTAACTGAAAATTCATACTGGGTATTTGGCCTTAGATCAGTGATCATGGTATTCAAAGCAGTGGTATTGTGATAACGATAACGGGTGGTTTGAGCTATGCCATAACGTACAGTGTAATGACGATTATCGGTAACATGTTGATTTTTGCTCAGCGTTGTATCTATCCAATAGACAACTATGGAAGAACTTGACATTGTTATGGCTCTCAAACCCACTGGCACTTCTAGTGGTGTGGGTATATCAATGGGATTTTCGTTGATCGTCTTAATATTATCATATATTGGGGGACCATCACCTTGTATGTTACGTGCTCTCAGCGAGACCACATATTCAGTGTTGGGTTCTAGATTTTTCAATTCATAATAACGATCGGTTTCTTTTAACTCCACGGCATTTTCATCGGGTATACCGCGACCCCAACCTAAGACATAATTACGTATTTTAATTTCATGTTGTTGTGGTGGACCCCAGTGTAGCGCAATTGTGTCGGCGCCCGGTTGTATACCAATCCATACTGGGCGTCCGGGTACTTGTGTTTCATCTAGATCATTTTCCAATGTCATTACACGATACCATTCGGTAAAGGGGCCTGAACCATTCACCGTCATTGCAGCTATTCTGACTTGATATTCGGAATTACGATCGAGGCCACTTAATTCATAGTAACGTATATTGGCTGGGGTGCTTTTAGTCTGCGGGGCGTCTTTCAATTTGCGATAACGTATTTTATAACCGGTTATTTGGCCATTGCGTTCTTCTTCGGAGGGCGGTTCCCAGTGTATGGTAATGGACTGAAATGATATAATAATGCAATTAATTTGGATATAACAACTACGGGAGAATGGTAAAACCTACAGTTGAGCTTGTTACTTCTAGGGTAACATTATTTGGTGGTTCCGATGGATTTGAGGAGAATGTTTTGACTCTAATCTCATTTGAGGGATCACCCATACCATTTTTATTGAATGGCACCACAGTTATAGTATAATCAGTATATGGCCTTAATTCGGTTAGCACAGCATCCAATGCAGTACTATCGTAGTAAAGTTCGGGGCCATTATCACCCTCCGAATAGTAGATACGATATTTTAAAATTTCACCATTTGTTACCAGGGGTTCTTGCCATTTCACATAGATTTCTTTATGATTGCGTGCATAACCCTCTACATTGATTGGTGGTCCTGCAATATTTTCCTCAGGCTGGGTGGTAACTTCTAACGGCTCGGATGATTCACCGGAACCGAAATTTGTATTTGCGACAACACGAAATTGATATGTACGTCCCGGTATGAGCGATTGTATATTGACTTGTTGTTCATCATGCGATTTGGTATTTAATTTTAATTCTCTGTAAGAGGTTTAAGGACGATGTTTAGAATATTTTTTCAAGGGCACATAATCGAATAAGCATATACAAATAATGAATTTAATATAAGAAAAAATAAAATAGATTAAAAATTTGGTCTGAAAAATATATTAGAAGTTTTGAAATTGAGCAGAGAGTATTCTTTTTAATTTACAATCAAAGTCTGAGGAAGTATGCGAAAATTCTGTTAGATTTTTTGATGAGAAATTCCCAATTCTTACTTGTATTATACATATTCACAAGGAAGTTTTTGTATTTATTTTGCCCCAAAACAAAGGCCAATTCCTTGAGGAAAAGCAGACTGAAAAAACAATAACAATGTCGCCTAAAACGACAATAAAATACGATATGAAATTACAATTTCCATCCCCCATATTTTTTTTTTTTTGCGAAAAAACAAAGGACATTTGTTACGCTTCTTCAAATTTGCATTTATAAGCTTAGCAACAACAACCAACGATTGTTAATATCAAATCAAAGAAAGTCGACAACGACAAACCCCCAGAGGCAACGATTTTCAAATGGAAACAAATTCTGAACGCACTAAATCATAACTTTTTCTTATTCCATGGTGCAATAAAAAACGACGACGAAGACCAAAGGAATAAATTGTAAGTATGAAAATTTGCATGTGGGAAGTCAACACTTCCTCTGAAGCTTGGAATAGAGGAGAAAGTAATTTCTTATTGTCTGCAATTTCGAGGGAGAAAATATATAAAAAACAAAATCAAATTTTATAGCAAATATAGAAGAAGGAGAGGCAGGGAGAAACAATTGCAATAAATTCTTTGGATGACAATTGCGAATGGCAAAGGAACGTTCAACAATTCAAAGCGGATTTAGTGTGAGGTCGAATAGGAAGGGATTGGGAAGAGACATTCAAGGATTCTCTGATTCCCATTTTTTAAATAATATTTTTTCTCAAGGACCAAAACATGCGAGGATTTTTAAAAGAATATTTTTTCAAGGGCGTGGATTTTTAAAAGAATATTGTTTTCCAAGGGCTAAAAACAGGCGTGGATATTTTTTAGGGACCATTAGTAAGTTGTTTGAAGCCTTTAAAGAATATTTTTTCAAGGACCAAACAGGCGTGGATATTTTTCAGGGACCTTTAGTAGTTTGGAGCCTTAAATAATATTTTTTCAAGGACCAATTTTAAAAGAAAAAGAAAATTTTTTTCAAGGACCAAACAGGCGAGGATATTTTTCAGGGACCATTAGTAGTTTATGCCTTTAAAGAATATTTTTTTCAAGGACCAAACAGGCGAGGATATTTTTCAGGGACCATTAGTATTTTGGAGCCTTTAAAGAATAAATATTTAAGGAAGTCTACTAAAAGTTTTCTATGAATAAAATACCTCCAAAAGAAGGAAGGAAGAAAGGTGACCCTAAAAACTATTCAGAGTTTCTTCTGTAAATAGAAGCAGATACCAAACAAAGAATTAAAAAACAAGTTTAAAAGTCGTCTTTAACAGGAGTTTTCTTTAGGGACTGTCTACTACAAGTTGTCTATAAATAAAACACCTTTAAAGGAAGGAAAGTGGTCCTACATAGAAAACCATCTACAGGTATATCTGTGTGAATAGAAGGAATCCCTTTGTGCAGGTGTTTTATTTATGAACAGTCTTCTATCGATAATCGATCCTTTGGAGGCCTATCAATGATAGAACATAAAACATAGGTTCTTCTGTTGATTTATAAAGATATATTCTTCTGTAAATAACCCGTTGGAGGTATAGGAAATGTTATAAAATCTCCTATATATATAAAATTTCACACATTCTAGTTTCCAAAGACTTGGTTTTGAGTAAAACTAAATAATAAAAAATTAAAATTATTATTAATATTTCAAATAAAACAAAATTCAAAACTACTTACCTTTCACTATTATTCATTTTATAATAGACTGTGTAGGAGACCACTTCCACGGGATTCTTAATGGGTTCAATCCAACTCAGTGTTACAAATCGAGGCTTAACAATTTGGGCCACTAAATCTCTGGGCGGTCCTGGCAAACGATTTTTAAGACCGGAACCAAGTATACTCGAACCACCTTTACCGCCAACGCCGCCGCCACCAATACCATTGTTGGAAGCACCCGCTCCACCATCTGACATATCTAAAACTATAGAAGATGAACGGGAGGAGGTTTGTTCAGGTAAATTGGAATTGCTGGGATTTAATTTTTTCTTATTTGTCCATGAATTTAATATTTTATTTGGATCTTCGCCATGTTTATAGGCATTGATATATTCTTCATTCGCGGCCACATTATCATCATCATAATCGTCGTCGTCATCATCATCACCATTATCGTTAATATTCTTATTGGCGTTCAATTGTTTGGTGAGGGTTTGACTATAATCGTTAATGTTACGTGATAGTTCACGTGAAAATTCCTCATCCTCGTCGTCATCGACAGCGAAATGACTTAGATCATCATAATGAGGATCGTTTAATGGCTGATCGGGAAAATTATTAAATTTCCTATTATTACCCTGAGAGAGTAAACTATCTAAGGCACTTTTTGAGATACGTGTCGTTTCACCATTATCGCCAGATTTGGTGCGCATTTCACCGGAATGGAATTTATTTTTACGCCTACCATTCTTATGGGGCTTGTTTTGGCCCCGTTCTAAATAGAGGGATTTGGTGGTTTGTGATTGGGATTTACGTTGTTTTTTGTTGTTCAATTTGCCTTGGGTGGGATGATGATTGGTGGGTGGGGTGGATGTTGATGATGATAGTTATTTGAAGTGATGGGAGTAAGGGAGGGTGTGTTAAGGATGGGGATAGGAATTGTTGGAAATTATAAAAAGAAAAGAAAATATAGAAAAAATAATAAGAAATAAAAAACATTATTTAATAAAATATAAAATGAAAAAATATATTAAATCAATTTATGATATTTTAGAAAAATATAAAATAATAAATATTTATACACTATATAAAATAAATATACACTTAAATAACATTTAAAGCGTTACATAAATAATAAAATAATAAGCAAATCAAAGTATTATATACACTATTTCAATTCAGCAAATTTAAATAACGAATTTGATAATAAATTTTTAAATCAGATTAAATAAATAAATTAAGCAGCTATTATTTTTAGTATACAATAAAAATATACACATACAAATAACTAAAAAGTATATATTAAATAAATATATAAATACATAAAAAGTAAGTATATAATAAAAATATAAAAGGCTCAGCAAAATTACAAAGCTTGGATTTGGATAATTTAAAAAACTATATAAAATAAAAATATATTAAAAAAATGAATATTTTTTTCTGGGGGGAATTTTGTTCAAGGAGCCTAAAGGTATGCTATGATTTTTTATACATTGATCAGTATTAGCACTAGGGAATTGCAGGTTCTGAAAAACATTTCTTAAAGGCTTTGACTTGCCTTCGGAACTATATGGAATAATACTAAGCTGGCGGGGTATTCTAACTAAAGCTTATATAAGTCTGTATTTTATTTATATATGGACAAATATAAATATATAAATAATATGGACAAATATATTTCTATTTTTATTTATAAAATAAATATTGACAAATTTTATTTCATTTTTTCACAACTCACCTGGTTGTACAACTCTCAGCCTGGCTGCCGCCTGAACACTTCCTGCAGGATTTGTGCCCACACACTGGAACATACCAGCATCGGATGGTAGTAGACCAAGTATACGTAAATTGTGGCCGGCAATGATTTGCATATAATCATTGGGTGTAATGAAGTCACCATTCTTTAGCCACTTAATAATGGGCTTTGGTTTTCCTCGGATTGCACATTCCAACTCCAATTCCTCTTTCTCAAATGCCGTTTTATCTTTGGGACTTTGTATGAATTTTGGTGGCACCTGGACCTGTACCGTGGCCTGGGCGTCAAGTGAATCCACTGTATTACTTGCACGACATTGATAATTACCCGAATCGATATCTTCGGCAGAGGAGATTTGCAACGAACCAGTGCCGATAATGGAAAATCTCGAATCCAAATCATTGAGATCTAATTCTTCACCATTTCGTAACCATTTAATTTGTGGCTTCGGTACACCATTTGCAACACAATCGAGCGTTACAACATCCCCCTCCCTTACGGTTTGGGGTGAGGGGCCCACAAGGAATGCCGGTGCAACTGGATCATGGCCATTTTCCAAATTCTTTTTAATACTTAAGCTGGTTTTACTACTAAGCCGTGAAATCGAGCCCGACGTGACATTACACTGATAGACACCACGATCCGCCGGTGTGAGTTCATCAATTTCCAAAGCACCATTTGGCAAGATGACCATACGTAATTTATCCAACTGCAGTGGCATATCATCCTTTATCCACTGGACGTAGTGTTTCATCCCTGGTTGGGTCTGGCCAATCATACAGCGGAAATAAGCCGTTTGTCCCGGTAACAAATAGGTTTCAATAAAATCCTGATTTAAATCGGGTAAACGAGCAATGGAGACCACCGCAGATCGGCTGACAATTGTACCAATTCCATCGACGGACAATAGACATTGATAGGATCCAGTTAGACCACGATTTTCTTCCACCGAACTAATGTAGAGGGAACCATTTTTTAATTGGGTACGAAACGTGTCGCCCACTATACCCAAATCTTGGCCATCTGGACCACGCCATCGTATGTTGGGTGCAATCTTTTGATTTTTACCCAATTGTGCCACACCGGCACATTGCAGCAACACTGAATGACCTTCGGGCACAACAACATCTTGTGGTTCTATGCTAAATGTGAGAGCTAAAGGGGTGGGAAGAGAAGAAAAGAAAAGACGAAGAAGAGATCAATAAAAATTCAATTCATTTTGATTTTCAATCAAAAAACAACAAATTATTGCTATAGCCTAGATATGGACGGTCGTAACTTCTTTAATTTCAATTAATCTATTAAACGTTTATGGGTTATAGCTTCATCAAATCGTCTGCTGCCAGGGAACATAAAAAATCCGTTGAGTTTTAATTAAAATGCAATGCTGAATGGCAAAAATCTTACGTGTGTGTATGATTGGATCTTGCATCTTTCCCCCGTGCAGGACAGACAAACACACACAATGAAGAAGATATTTTTCTTTATTGTCTTAGGTTTATGAGGCAATAGCTTTATTACACCATTTCCTCATTATGTTTTTATTAACCAAATTTCGAAATTGACCATCAAGGCATCAATTCACATTGATTGGGTAGTTATTCAGCTGAGCTGAATTCAAAATTTTACAACGAAAATTTGATTTTCCGTATGAGAACTTTAATGCAGCCAAGTTGAATTATGTTTTATATAGGAAAATCTCAATTCAGCCCAGCTGAATTAGATTTTACACAGGAAAACTTCAATAAAATTCAGCTGAATTATTTTTATTTCATCTTTGCCTAGCTGAATTAGAGCTTCTGCTGGAAATCTATAATTTTGCTCCGCGGAATTAGTTTTTCTGTAGGAAAACTTCAGCTTTGGCTGGCTGAATTGGGGTTTCTGCAGTTTCAGCCCAGTTGAATTGCATTAATATTGACTAAAATATTTAAAATATATATTATTCGTAAGAAAACTTCAATTTAGCTCGGCTGAATTAGGTTTTCTACATGAAAACTTCAATTTAGCTCGGCAGAATTAGATTTTCAGTGGGTAAACTTAAATATAGTTCGGCTGAATTAGGTTTTCTGTAGGAAAACTTCAATTTACCTTGGCTGAATTAGGTTTTCTGTAGGAAAACTTCAATTTAGCTCGGCGGAATTAGTTTTTACGTAGGAAAACTTCAATTTAGCTCGGCTGAATAAGGTTTTCTGAAAGAAAACTTTAACTTTGCCTAGCTGAATTGAGTTTTCTATAGGATAACACCAATTTAGCCCGGCTGAATTAGGTTTTCTGTTTGAAAACTTCAATTTAGTCCCGCTGAATTAAGTTTTAATTATGTTTTATTTAGAAAAACTTTAACTCTGACTATCTGAATTAGGTTTTTTATAAGAAATTTACAATTCATTCCAGCTGAATTGCATTAAAATTAACCAAAATGTTTAAAATATATGTTAATAGAAGATTTTTAAGAGAAAAACTTCAATTTAGCTCGGATAAATTAAATTTAGCTAAACTGAATTAGGGCTACTATAGGAAAATTTTAATTCAGCTTAGTTGAATTCGATTTTCCTTAGGAAAACCTCAACTCAGCCCAGCTGAATTTGATTTTCTGTAGAAAAAATATAATTTAGCTCTGCTGAATTAGGTTTTCTTTAGGAAAACTGCAATTTAGCTCGGCTGAATAACATTTTCTGTGGGAAAACTTCTATTTATGTTTAAATTCTATAATAAATTCACAATTCAGCTCAGCTGAATTACGCTAAAACTAACTAAAATATTTAAAATTTATGTAAATAATGATTTTAAATGGAAACTGTGTCCCTAACTCAAATAAATTTCAAATTTATAGTTTCTTGATTGCCATCCCACACAACATTCTGATAGCAAAAAACCTCTAATTTACAGATGAACGGTAAAAATGGAAAGGAATTTTATTCAGCTGCTTTTTATAATAGACAAAACTCTATACTGAGATTTTTATGGCAGCATTAAACGTTTTACGATAACTGTTTATAGGGACATAAAGTTAGCCTTTTGGTGGGGGAGTTGTTGCATGCGGAGCCATTTCATTAAACAAAAATTATAAACAGTTACTAAATTTTAAATGACTTCTCATATTTTGTTTTTAATAACTTAATTAAGCTTTCAACAGTCCAAATGGGGAATTAAATGTCCATACAACAAGTGTGTTCAGCAGCTATGGCAAGCCCTGATGGATCATGATAATTATATATAAACATATATTGTATTATATTTTCCATATGTTTTGTAATGTAATTAAATTTACAAAATGTAGAGAATATTTTTTTCTAACAATAACAGGACAGCAGTAAGTAAGCCGATTGTTGTCTGCGCACCACACCCCGCGTACTACCCTTGAACTTACAGCAAACAGACACACATACATACATTTAATATAGTTAATGAGTTGGCCATAGAAAAACAAACGTTTCTCTCTGCTCATTAAATAATGAATGGTAACTGTTTGCACAATTACTATGCCCAGGAACAAGAAAGCACAACAAAACAAAAAATTAAATATAACAGAAAAACATTTAGAGACCTAACCAACCCTGATAGTGAAAATTGAAATAAATGAAGTAATTTAATATCACATCAAATACATGCATACATATACACATAATACACGCAAATAAAAATCCAGACCTTCAAAAATCCACGCCTATTGATAGAAGTTGAAAACTACTTTTAAAATATACACGCCTTTCTAAAGACCTTGAAAATTTTTTTTAAAACCCACGCCTCTCTAAGGAAATGTAAAAATATTTTTACAAAAATCCAGGACTACTGAAAAATAGAAATTCGAAGTCACTCTAAGGACCTTGTGACCCTAGTCACTCTAGGGACCAGGAACAAATATCACACGCCTCTATAAACGTTAAAAATGTTTAACATTGAAAAATATTTCTAAAAAATCTTGTCCTCTCTATGGGCTTTAAAAAATATTTTATAAGGATTCTGAAAAATAAATATTTATTAAAAATTCACGCCTTGAATATTTAGGAATTTGGTGTCCATAGTACTTATATATTTCAATTTTTTCTCTCAGTGCCCTTTTTCTAAATTAATCTACAGAAAAACAATGACATTTTGTTGAAACAATTTTACAGCTCATTAGAAAGACAAGAGGCCACATATATACATACATATGTCTGTATGTGTGTGTGTGTGTCAAATGTCCTTAGGAAACATAAGGTTTTCCTGGAAAACTGAAGAGGAAAATTAAAAAAGGAATAGTAAAAAGCTGACAAAACTAATGTAACCTTAATGTTATAATAGACACTCATTAGACGACACTGTAGTATTTGAATGACACGACACTAGAGCATACTTTTAGGCGTTAGGGGGGCACAAACAGAAAGAAAATGCAAAGAGACTTTAGAGAAGATATTTTATTTTAACAAATGCCAAGGGATTTGGGAAGTTAAATTATTTTTCATGGTTAAAAATGTACTTAATTGAAAGTCAGGAAACGGATAATTTGAACAAATTTTATTTTGAGGGGTTTCTTAATGAAGAAAATCTACAAATTTAAGACTAATGACTAACAAATATAAATTATTTTCCTAGAAAAGAAAATAATAACATTTAAATTTAAAAACCAAAATTGTAAAATTTCACAAATATTTATTACAACGAATATTGATTAAAACCCAAAGTATAATATTCATATTTTTCTAAATGTATTTGCTTTTGTTCTCCCATCAATATTTTCTATAAATTAAGTAATTTAATATTGTTTCCATTTCACAGCACATCCATCCATTCTCCTTACCCGCATAATATTCGAAATTAAGTTCTTATAAATGTAAATAAATGATATATTGGCTAGGTTCAAAACCTCCCTCTCTCAAATCAATTTATTTACGCTGGAAATTTGTCGATGACTTGCTACCAAACCACCCGCAGCAGAAGCAACAGCAAGAGGATATTTTTAGTTTTGTACAAATTCTCATCACGTTGTAAAAATATGAAATTTGAGTACATAATTTTATAAAGGTCAATGACGGTCGCCGGTCGCTGCCATCACCACCGTTGCATACATGATATGTTCACCGTCCGGATTGATTTTTCCATAAGGGTATGAAAAGAAAAATCGAACTTTCAATCTGATACCTTTTTTTTTTTGGTTGGGCGATATGTCAATCGTTATTGAATTTCGTGGTGGTGATGTTCTTCTTTTTTTTTTGAAAATGAAAATTTTGTTGTGAAAGGTTTTTGTTGTTGTGGGAAGGGTATAATTGATGGGTTTAAAAGATTAAATATTATTAATTTAATATTTATAATTACACTTTTGTATTTCATTTAAATTGAGCCGTGCTCAGTTCAATGGGGGGTTGAATTTGATATGAAAAAAATCAGTTTGTAATTGGAGTTAACACGGAGGTCATATACAACGAAGAAAGATAGTTAAATGCAAATGGAGGGAAATATGATATTTAGAAAAAGGATTGATGGAACTTAAAAATATTTTTGAAAACATCAACGCTTATGGTTGGCCTTTGGTCTTTTTGATTCAGGTTTATTAATGAACCTTGAAATCCATTTTCTAAAAATATTGTGTTTATTGATAAATCCTACTGAAAATAGTCGTGTTTTTTTAATTCACGCCACACTTAGGATCAAGAAGAGTATTTTTTAAATCTACGCCTTTCGCAGGATCCTGAATAGTATTTTTTTTTAAATTTACGCCTTTCTCAAGATCCTGAAGAGTATTTAAAAAAATACACGCCTTTCTCAGGATCTTGAAGAGATTTTTTTTAATCTACGCCTTTCACAGGATCCTGAAGAATTTAAAAAAAATCCACCCCATTCTCAGGATCTTGAAGAGTGTTTTTAAAAAAATCCAAACCTTTCTCAGGATCCACACCTTTCTCAGGATCTTGAAGATTATTTTTAAAAAATCCACACCTTTCGCAGGATCTTGAAGAATATTTAAAAAAAATCCACGCCATTCTCAGGAACTTGAAGAGTATTTTTAAAAAATCTACACCTTTTGCAGGATCTTGAACAGTATTTTAAAAAAAAAAATTCCACGCCCACCGACAAAATCAGGCTTAAAACTTTGCTAACAAATATTTTTTTAAATAAAATCCACGCTATTCGCTGTGAAAAAAATATTAAAAATGTAAAAAATCAATTCGAAAATACAC